AGCGTTCCTGTGACAAGGAGCTGTCAGGATCCGTGCTCCTGCCCCCTGCCCGAGTCTGTGGCTGCAGGGTGAGCAAGTGCTGCTCGGCTTTCGCACACCTGCGTGGAGCCGACTGCACTCACCCATCCCTGAGCAGTGCGGGCTGACAAGCTCCTCCAGAGCTCTGCGGCTCAGCAGGACGCAGCTTGGCTGCTACCCCCGGGATTTCCAGGAACGCCAGGGCTCCCTGGGGAGGGACGCGGGCACGCAGGGAGGCGGCTGTGGCTTCTTGCGCCGTCAGGTGTAGCTACAGAAGCGCTGGCTTCTCCTAGAAGCTCTCGTTGACCCTGCCATCTCCTGAGAGTCCCACAAAGAGGGTTCTGCTGCCACTGCCACACCGCATTGCTTTCTCCGTGGTGAGCTCTTTGAGCTGTGACCTGCCTGAGGCAGAAAATCTGGACAGAAATTGTAACAAGGTCGATTCCTCTAACTGTCAGTTGTATAGGGGAACACCTCACAACTGCAAACGTGACCACAGCTGCGTCTCTCTTCAGATGTGACATGTGGACCTCCTCCAGAAATTGCCGGTGGTAAAGTTCAAGGTGTTAAAAAGTCAAGATATTTGCCTGGGGAGAGTGCTCGCTATCAGTGCTGGCAAGGTTTTGAGATGACGGGGCCTTCCACCGTAGCGTGTCAGAATGGGACCTGGACACAGCTGCCAATGTGCAAAGGTAATTTCTCTCTCTCTTCATACAGTCGCCTGACAGCGAGACTGTCACGAAGCTGACTCGGTGGCATCTACTTGTTCAAATTTCAGCCTCATTACTGTGCATAAACGCAATGTATCTGGCATAGTCAGGAAAAAGCCGTTTTCCCAGGTACGTATTCAGATGAATTTCCCAGCTGAGTGACCCAGCTGGCTTCACTCGAGAGGGCCACATCTGGAAAACCACCCTGAGGCTGAGAGCAGTTTCTGGCCAGGTCTAATTTTGAGGTGCAGCCCTTGGACTTCTTTGTATCTACTTTCTGTGCCTGCCTGCTGAGAAGAGCCTGAGAAATGTTGCTGTCAGTGCCGGAGAACGGAGCCCTCAGCTTCCCTGCTAGTTGATAACCCAGAGAAAGCAGACGATGCATTGCTATATTGAACGCCGTGGAGTCAAATCGGCTGTTAAATCAAGCGAGGGTAGAATTTGATGGGTGAGCCAACACCTAGGTACTGTGTTGGTGCCTCATAGGATTTCACGTGTGTGCTGAATAATCTCATTTTTTTTCGTTAGACATACAGAAAGTTTCAGCGCATGAACCAATGCAGCAGCATTTGACTCAAACACCAGCCAGCTGGGAGCCGAAAGGGGTGCAGAAACAGGAGATGACTTAAGACCAGGCTCCACATTGTGGCTCCAGAGCACAATGCCAAGTGCAAAGAGGCTCACTGCTGGGTCCCAAGGGCTCTGGGTCTTCTCTGAAGATTTCCCAACGCAAGGTCCGTTGGAAGGCTGGACTGGGCAGCAGTGTGGTGCTTGAATAGGTATAAAAATTGAGGAGGCAGCAGTGCTTCAGGATTGGCATGTGTGAACTCCCCAGTGGCCGTAAGTGGCCCACAAAGCCCGAGGGCTATCCCGTTAGCGATTGCGGTGGTGCAGTTCAGTGTCAGTCGTTACTGTTTGCAGTCATCGGATCCGCTTTTCTCACTGCTCAGGCAGTACAGGGAGGACGTGGGTGTCAGGCTCTTCTGCAGAAAGAGCTGTGCCAAACGCTACGCTGTTACGCAGGACGAGGGGAAGTCCTGCAGACAGCTGCAAGCGCTTCAGCTGTGGGCAAAGAGGGTGAACTGGCAGTTGTGAGTCCCAGCACTGGAGAAATGTGAAACTCTTGCTCTTTCTCACCTGCCAGGTATTTGGTTTTCTCTCTGCTTTCCTCCGGCTCTCTCAGAGCAGTGCCAGCGTACTGTCCGGTAGCATTTGTGGCCAAACCTCCGTTGTGATTAAACTCTCACGGCTTTCTCTCTGATTGGGAATTTTCTTCCAGGGAAAGGTGGGAAATGTGGCCCACCTCCAGTTATTGAAAATGGAGATCTTCTGTCCTTCCCCATGCAAGAATATCCACAAGGTACAACTCTGGAATACAAATGCCCAAGTCTCTACATCCTGGAAGGATCTCAGTATATCACCTGTGCTGATGGGCAGTGGACAAGCCCCCCGGTTTGCCTCGGTAGGTGGAAGCAGGTGCTGTGTGGGCAAGGGCTCTGTGACTGCTCCTGTTGTCTTTTTCTCAGATCCTGGGGGCATCGCTTGTGCAGCAGCACTTGTGCTGGGGCTGCGATGCCAGCGGGGCAGACCAGCAGCGAGTGCTTCTTTTGTCCGGGAGTTTCTTCTTGAAGTTCGCTCGTGTAGTCCCCTCTGCTGCCTGCTGTCTCTCGCCACCGCAACAGTTTTGAGAGGAGGCTGAACCGCACTGTGCGAGGGGATCTCCATCGCTGTGCAGGGCTCCCGAGTTGGGGACGCCGCTACAGTCAGCGGGCTGCGAGCGGGGAGGACGGGTCTGAGTGCGTGGCAGTGCTGGGGAAATCTGGGGGTGCATCCGTGACATGGCCGTGAGGAAACAACCTTAGAGAAGTGCTGAGCAGAAGGGAAGGAGGGAATCTCAGAATAGACAGGGGGAAGTTTATTGGTGCCTGGTGACTTCCCCACCTGTGCTTCGCTCCTGCCCTGTGTGACTGATTGAAAAGGCTTCTCCATAGCTCTGCTGGGGTCACAGCCATGGTTGTCTTTTTTCCCTCTAGCTTGGGTGTGAATGTCTTTCCTGTTGCAAGTAACAGAGGGTCCGAGCAACTAGCTGGAAGTGTGTGTTGATGTGAAGAACTTCTGTAGGCTCTAGGGGGAAAAAAGTTACCTGTGGTGCATCTATATGAAGTGATGACACCCTTCTCTTGCCTTTTTCAAGTGGCCTGTACAGCATCTGAAGAAGACATGGAGAGAAACAATATTCAGCTGAAATGGATCATAGGAAGAAAGCTGTATTCCAGATCGGGTGACTTTATAGATTTTCAGTGTAAAAGAGGGTATTTGGAGGACCCAGCATCTCCCCCCTTCAGAGTACAGTGTATGGAGGGAACATTAGAATACCCACGGTGCAAGCCAGCAAGTAAGTCATGTCTGCTTTGGCCACAGCTTATCCGCTGTGCCGTTGCATTTTTAGTGCTGAAGCCGAGGGGAAAGCCTTCAGCTTTCCCTTGGGGAGCAGCCAGGGTGTGGGAGCATCCTGTAAGCTGCAGGCAGTGAAGGGCAGTGACCCCAAGAAGCCATTGACCAGCGTAACAGAGCTGGAAAGGCTGCTGGGGAAAGGGCTCTCGGGGGTTTGCAGCTGGTACCGACAGTTTCAGAGCATCAGTTGTCCAGCGTGAGGTCTTCAGGCAAATAATGAAAGTACTTCTTGCAGAGAACTGTACTTTGCATGAGAGGATTATGGAAAGGAACAATATCCGACTACAGCCATCAAGACGGTCGAGCACTTCCACCTATCGCTCTGGAGATTATATTTTCTTTGAATGCAAATGGTGGTACCGAAAAGTTTCACACCCTGAGACATTTAGAGCAGAGTGCCTGGATGGAGTGATTAAGTATCCTGTATGTGAACGTAAGTGCTTGGTGCCAAGGGCACGGGGGGCTGTAGGAGGCAGCTTTGGTCAGACTGCCTGTCCGCTGCTCTGGGGACCCACTGCAGTGTGCCAGGCTTGGTCTTCACGCCTTTTCCCCTTTTTCCTCTTTACGCTGCAGCATTAGCTGGATAAACGGAAGTGGCATGAAGGAGCCCAGCTGTGGAAAGGAAAGGCCCCTCAACCAACCCAGCAATTTGATCTCAATTTCTGCTCGTGTTTCCCCTTTCGCTGTGCTTTGTTTGCAGCTTGGAATTTGCAGTTCTGTCTTGGAATTTGTGTTTTTTTTCTTTGTCTTATTGGTTGATTGTGTGTACATTTTATCCATTTTTGTAAATGTATTTACATTTTGTAAATGTGTTTACATTTTATCCATCCAAATGGTTGTGCTTGCATTTTATCCATTTTCTACTGATCTCACTGTTATTTTTAGTAACCGTTCTGTCCTGAAATAGGCTGGCTTTGGTGGCTTACTGAGACAAGAATTAAAGCCTGCAGGTAATTTGGTCATCAGCAAGTGCAGTGTGTTTGGCCTTGTCTGCTCCTAGCTTCTTCTCTGCGCGCTTGCCTAGAAACTACCGTGGGGTCATGGCAGAGGTGAGCGTCCTGACCGCCTGATCAGGATGAGCAAGTGAGTGGAGTCACCTTTAAACGACTCAAGGAAGTCTGTAGATCACAGACCCAGTTCT